AAACGTACCGGAAAGTATAGCGTGTCTTTAGAAAATGAATAAAAAACATGAGTCACAGCAATATAAATAAAATGATAACATCCTTCAATTGATGGACCATTCACAACAAAGAAAGTTCATAGATCAGTCAGACTAGATGACGTGGTGAGCGCTTAACCAATCTGATTGGTTAGTTATGACATAACTACAATTAGTCATAAAATAACTAACAATGCATACCCCAGAGGAATCAATTAAAAAGGCGAATAAACGGTCATGAGGAATTCAGGAGATCAGGATTCGAGAGAGCACAAAGATACAACTGCGCCATTGCAAATGATTTTAAGCCATGTCATTCAAAGTCTCTAACTATCGCTTACTATCATCTCGCGGACTCCAACCTAGTAGTCTATACTTATCAACATGACTCAATCCAGTTGTCAGTGATTTCATTGATTTCTGTAATGTTTTGGTTTGACCGCCCCCAGCTTTCCTCCAACCTACTCCTACTCCACAAAACATCGCTCTTGGAGGCAGTCGGCGGTTGGGCATTCGTAACACATGTCCCAACTACCTCATCTGATAAAGTTTCTCTACTTCATCTATTGACCTGCCATCCTTACCTAGTACCCATTTCCTAACAACAGCACTGCTAACTCGATAGTCGCGAGATAAACGAGCTATGCTTCGGAGATACCTATGAAAATCTTAACTACATATGAATGAGAAATATGCTAGTATTTTCGATGCATTTGACTGACAGCTGATTTTAGTTTATAAGCTCTTATATCAAGAGCTCAAAATCGAACAAACGCATATTGTTATTTCCTTTTCAGTTATTTGAAGTATATGGAACAATCACTGTGCAGGACCTGCGGTTTAATCTACATCCGAAGAATGAAACAAAAGTTATTAGTGTCCACATTAACAAGTATGTCATTCGAAATTTGTATTGAATCGAATCGATAGCTTCCAAATGCTTAGCTGTTCGTTATTTGTTAAACAAAAGGACATGACGTTGATATGCTTTAAAATAATTTACAAACAGTAATCCTCAGATTTATTACTTTTTACAGAGAGGGCATTACAGTAGAAAGATTTAGAGTAAATCCGTTAGTAGCAAAATTACAATAATCATTCTTGTTTCGCTTTGAGAACCTTGTATTCATGAGATTATTATGTAAAGAATTTTTCCCTTGATCTTAGTTGTAATTTCTAATATCTTAATTCTTACTTCAGAGCTTTATTCGGCCACTTTTATATATTAGGTAATCCGTGTAATAAATCTTCTTTTTCAAGAATTATCCTGCTTCTATGTTCTTTTTAGTTTCGCCTTCTAGAATATTCATATATTTAATCTAAAAACAAACAGATGTTCAACCAATTTTTTTTAATTCTCCCATAATTATTCATTCTCATTATTCCATACCTATATGTATTAAACTTATTTTTTTTCAAAACTTATTCGATGATACAAAGTATGTATGTAATGTGTTACTTTGTTTCTGATGACTAATACTACTACTACGGTTTCTAGGTTGTAAATAACTGAGGAAATAAATTACTTCATGTTAGTTTGTTATAATCTTCATTCTTTTACTTCACTCCAACTTAAAAATGATCTAAACAAGAGGCAAATAAAAAATTGATCTAATTTGCATTTTATTGAAAAGTGAATGCACTTAATAGTCAACATTCATATGGGGTTAAACATGTTTTTTCAATTAAAGTTATGGAAACTAATGATTTTTACTCAGAGAAATCATCAGTCAATCATTGTTAGACCACCATTAGAAACCTGGAAGCATTGGACGGCTGTTTCGTTCTGGTATGGGACTCATCAGCATTAACACCGTTACATGCCGGCCCAGTGGTTAGGCGTTCGCGTGCAAGACCGAAGACCCTGTGTTCGAACCCTGCTAGGTGCAAGAGTTGTGGATGCGTACTGCTGATGAGTCCCATACCAGGACTTGACGTCCGTTCAGTGTTTCCAGGTTTCTGATGGTGATTTGACAACGATTGATTGATGATTCTAAACATGTTTATTGTAAAATGTTTTGTTTACGCAAAGTAATCATAAATTCAAGGCGCTTATATCTCTACTGGTATTTGATTTTATAAGATCAGATGCAGTTGATATATGTACAATTAGTTTTAACCGATACTAAATTTGAATGAAGCACTGAGGACTTTATATATCTTATCAATGATTAATACAGTGATCGATCAGTATGATTAGCTTAGACCTACAAAATATCTGTCAACAGTTGATTAGCACGAAACTTAGTCTCACAGTTTCCGGTCATTTAGCTCCAACCGAATAACATCCAAACATGCAGTATGGTATCATACTCAGTTATTTGGACAATTAGTGATATGCTTAAATGCTATTACGAGTTCACCTTAGTGACATGATAGGCTATTCTAATCCGTTTGTCTCAGCCCCGGCTAACTAGAACAAGAAGTCTTGATAAGACGTAGAATGTCTGAGCACACAAATTAAACTTATTTATACAATAATAGAAACGCCCATGGGAGAGCCACAAAATAATGTACTAAAATAGTCCATCAACCAATGACAGTCAACCATTTTCGGAGGTGGAAATGTGAGCTGAAAATCAACTGGCGCGAAAACATGTACATTCAAAATTTCAGAACAAAAATGCAAAATTAGGACCTTTTCAAGTGAGTTCTGGGGATCTAACGTCTCCACAAATTAGTCACACTTTAGGCTAGTTGATCAGTACTATGAACTGATTACTAATCAGTGATCGATCAGTACCATCGAATTCTTAATATCTATCTATCCTACGTCAGTCCATGATCAGAATTTTCTTCAAACTAAACAAAACCACCCAAAGCAACTGTATACTCCATCGCTGCAAAATAAAATATCCAATTATCTATTAAATTTCATGTAGAACATTCACTTCAAGTTGCAGTAAAATTCTACATTTTAGAACATATACAAATTTGTAAATATTAAGATATTTTCTATTCAACCAAGAAACGAATAAAATTCCGAACATCTAACAGTTAAAAGTAGGTTAGCATGAATTGCACTGAAACATTTTTTTCTTAATTTGTTATACAGACAGCTTATGTTTAAAAGTACGATAAATCATTTGATCAATACAATTCAGACTGCCGTTTCTTAGACTGGAACACAATATTTTCCAAGGAATATATATTGTTAACTTCGACCGATTGAATCTCTAGAAAAATACGTAATTCTTTTCATTTGGCATCAAAAAATCGACCATTGTTAGAAACCTGAAAGCACTGCATGGCCGTCGCGTCCTAGTATGGTACTCCTCAGCAGCGTGCATTCACGATTCCAGCTCGCGGGGATCGAACCCAGGACTTTCGACCTCACGTGCGAACGCTTAACCTCTAGACCACTGAGCCATCTATCCAACATCGTTCATGTCTAACTCTGATCAATTTAACGTATTGCACAACCTCACCCATTTTTTTTCGTTGATCATTTAATTACTACGAAGTCATGTTTTTATCGATAGCGATAAAAATACTGACAATAATATACTACTAATGCATATAATTATACAATATATTCAATACAAAAGATAAACTGAATTAAAATCAATAATCAGGAATAGTTAAACAAGAACTGATTGACAGATATAAATTGAGAAATCGAGTTTGTATTGATCGAAAAAAAATTCGTTGTCGCCTCCTTTTTTTCCAAATAGTTTAATATAAACAAACATATACACAAGTAAATGCAGTTCAAATTATAATGTTCAAAACAATCCTCCATGGAAAAAAATAATGCTGTCCGATGATGAGACAATTTCAATTTCAACAAAAAAGCACATAATTATTATTTATTAAATCCGACCATTGAATGAGAATAATGAACAACAATGCCGAAAAAAAAATGAAGCAATCGATCGATTTTCGACTGTTCCGACTTTTTTTGAGAGATTTGCATGCACAGTTGCATGAAACTTTCAATATTTACACATTCTGTAACGCAAGTTATTGAACTATTAAGCCGAAGAAAGTACTATTTGAACAAAATGAACGCAAATAGGAAAAATGGATCAAAATATTGATTTATTCAGTCAAGAAGAAACAATGGAACATTGAATTGCCGTTACAATAATTGCATGATACTTTCTTCATATTTACACATATGTTGTAACGCAAGTTATTGAAAAAAGTACTATTTTGAACAAAATGATTTAGTTAGGAAGAAACAATTGAACATTGATTGAATTGTTGTTACATGGGAAAAAAGAAACCAAGAGAACAAGAAGAAATGACAACAATTACAAACAACAATTAATCTTGATGAAAGTAAAACAGCGCAAATACAATGAATTATGTAACAAGTGATCAAACAAATCAATGAAATCGAGAATCCAGTTCATTAGTTTTTTTTCCAGAAAGAAAAACCCATTTGAAATACAACTTGCATAGTTTCCTTCTTTTACATCAAGAGAGAAAAAAAGAATACCAACCGAAGGTCAACACAATGTTCACAATGTACATTATATATTAGTACTTTTTTATTTAACAACATTTTAAATAGTCATTGATTGGTGCGAAAAGTCTTTTTTTCTTTTCTTTGTCACAATAAATTTCCCTGTATTTTTGTTTTTGGTGAGAAAACATAGAAAATAATAATATAGTATGTATGTATGTAATGAGCTTAGCAAACTAACTAACTGTTGAACAATCTCAATAGATAATGCAAAGAAGAAGAATCTATCATCAGAAGAGAAAAACAAATAACACTTCATTTATCGAATATATAAATAAATGTATGTAATTTGAGCTAGAGATTGTTGTTGTTAAATATTATCAATACTATTTTGAATGTTCAAAAAAGAAGGTGAGTAAAAATGGAAATTGAATATGAATCTATGTACTGATTGATTGATTGAAACCTGAGAATAATCATTGATAATAAACATATTAGTAATTATATATAGGTGTATATATATTTTTCAATGAAAAATATTTTCATGTTTCGTATTATCTATCTAGTTTAATAATAATAACAATAATAATAATACTATTATGATCAAATGCAATTGATTGATATAGATGGTTTAACAGCTTCGGATGATTGATGAAAGTATGCGGAATGATTTAATGGTGTTGAAGGCAATGAAATACTATTATGAGATGTTAATCGCTTTGTCAAGTTATGTTGAAAACAAGAACAATCTGAAGATGAATGTGTACAATTGTTCCGATGGGGATCGGATTCAGTGTTCGATTGATTCATATTGATTGGTTGACGTTGTTGTATACCACCACAACAAGAAGACTTGAACTGTTTTACTTCATCATGACCATTTTCATCATCGAATGTACTACCACTACTACTTGGCGTAGAATTCGTTGAATCAAATTTATAAAATATTCCACATCGTGTTAAATATGAATACCAATTATGATCTGGTTGGGTTTTTGCACCCAATGGAATATCAACTAATGAATAGGTATCATATTTTAAATCATTCAACAATTTAGAATGATTTTGTGCACGTTTATTGGAATTCTCATTAGTATTATTATTGGTAGCATGTAAACGATGTACACAATTTTGTATACGTTCCATAGTACTAATTCTTCGGACGCCATGAAATGCAGTAGTAGTGTTTTGTGTATTGAAACTAGTTGATTGTTCGTCTATGCAATCGAAACTATTGTCATCCTGTTCTTCTCTACTCATATCGCTAGTAATCTATTGAGAGTATTTTGAAGAAAAACAAAACAGAAGAATATACAAAATACAATAAATGTGACCAGTGGAGTTAAACCCTGTCGAGTGTAGGCAGTAACTACCAAAGACAAATGGATGAGGTCGCGCAAAATCCCTAGATCAATCAGAGTTAGATATAAACACCATTGGATACCGGCCCTGTGGTCCAGAGGTTAGGCATTCGCGTGCGTAAAACCGAAGGTCCCGGGTTCGAATCTTGCGAGGTTCAGGAGTCGTGGATGCGCACTGCTGATGAGTCCTATACCAGGACGAAACAGCCGTCCAGTGCTCCCAGGTTTCTAATGGTAGTCTAACAATGATTGATTGATGATTTCAAATGTGTAAGAACACTAATCTCCATAACTCTAATTGAAAATGTATATCAATGGTCACATGAGAGCAGAGTGTACATACACAAAGAAAGCTCTACTGCATATACATAAGAGTGGTGTCGATTCGATAAACATCATAATAAATCAACTTAAATTCAGAATAATTAATCGCAGAAAAGAAAATAAAAGAAACATAATTTGTCATTTATAAAGAAATAAAGAATAATTTAACAGAGAGAATCTTCTTTTCAAATCTGTCGTCACATTTATATTTGATGAGTTGCAGCACAATCACATGTATAAAGTTCATACTTTTTTATGAAGAGAATATCAAGAACTATATTGTAAGGGTCATTCAAATACAGTTTATAAAGATTAAAATGACAATGTATCATGCATACTTTGTTTAGTGTATGAAATTGAAGTTGTACAAAGAAAATGTTACCCTAATGAAATGGTTTATAGATGAGATCGATAGTTGTCCCTACTTAATGAACATGAAGAACGGATCAATCGAAAAACGTTGTTCATAACAGCTAACTCATAATTATGTTATATATTGATTAAGGAATAATATTGAATAACTGAGAGACTGTATGGAGAGGAAACTTTGAGAACCATGAAAGCCATTATTCACAAGATACAAGTGTTAACTAACAGGTGTCTAGGCAAGATAAACCAGATCCGTTGGCTGGACACAATCAGTAACAATCTACTGTGGGAGGGAACAAACAAGATTCTAACAGAGGGAGATATTAGGAAAACGTGCTGGCGGTGGATAGGACACACATTGTGGAAAGCACTCAATTGCGTCACAAGGTAAGCCCTCCCTTGGAGCCCTCACAAACAAAGGACAAGTGGTAGACTAAGTAACACACAGATAAAAATCGGAAGCAGACATGAAAAAAAACGAACAGCAATTGTGTAGAATTAGAATTGGTTAGAGAATTCAGGTTAGTGGCTTATGCTGCATTAGGAGTATCAGGTGTATGTAAGTAAATAAGAAAGAGAATTATAACAATCGAAGTGGTTATCAAAAAATTCACGATACTGAAATCTCCTGAGTAAACGTTTATGTTAAAAATTCTCAACAAGTATGTGAAGTACAGTGCACGGTTAAGTGAAACGAAAACAAATGTTGATTTCATAAAAAAGTGCATGGATCCCGACTTGTATCCAAAATATATATTGCAAATATTTACGTCGCTCTAGAGTGCGATCAAGCATTTTGAACTAAATTAAATCAATTCTCTAAATGTTAATGAAAGAGTTTAGGTTGTGGAACAGCGTCCTGAAAATTTGAAAGAACGACTTTTGAAACATACTAAGATGACGGTCAACACCAGAAAAGAAAATAAATGTACCCGACTAAAAAAAAATCTAATCAAACAGAAGTCAAAAATTAGATTTCGATCTAACGCAAGTGATCAATACGTACACAATTTACTCAATTTGATTAGGTTAAAAGCGTTATTTCGAGAAAACAGTTAATAAAATGAACGTTGAAATTCAATTTGAAAACGTCTAATAAGCTTCATCAATAGATTTACGATAGTAAGCAAGTTGATCTCATGTGCTGTTACGGGTATGCCACTTTCCAGCTGCTCACACAGCGGAAGGGCATTTCTTGAGGAACCTGAAAAGGAAGCTAGATTAGCGTTAGTCTTTGTTACCAGGAAGCGTAACCGTAGAGCCCGAAAGAAAACTGCTTGAGGTCGGCCACGCTGTTCAAAAGGCCTTACCGCCGGAGATGGAAATTCATGAGGTAAAGTGAGGTGCGATACACTGCAGATGTTGGTTGTCCGAGAGAAATACCTTACTACCGTCACATCCCTCTACAGTCAAGTAGCACGACTTGTCCCTCAAACCTTAAGTTCCTACTTTTAGTCTTACCATTCTCCAATCAACTGCCTAGCATGGTAGAACCTACAGGAACATATGTTCCAACTAATACAACTCAGTTGGGTCATCATGACAGGCAAGCCCAACCATCAGCCCAGCTACGATCGCGACATCTACATTCAAAAGAAGCTTGTGCAACCACTCTCACTCACTACCCTGGCTATAAGGTTTAGGATCAGTGAGTTTTAATTGAATATTGATTAAATTCATTCTTTCAAGAAAAGTATATTCAAACAATTTTCTTTCACTTTTGTATTTTTTATTCTTTTTACAAAATTTTAACGTTCATCTCTGGGAGGCTTACATAGAAATATATACATATGTATGACAATTGTTCAAATGGAATATTTTTTTTCAGAATAATTATTTTGATTATTATAATCTTTTTTTTTTAAAAAAAAATTATTCAATATTGTTTATATATTTCCCTGCGGCATTTTATGACCATTACGCGTTTTATACACACACACACAACTAAATACTCTCAATGAGTATTATAGTTCATTTGCTGTAGCTACAATAAACTGTGGGAGGAAAAAATATAGAAAACAGTAGAAAAATATTAGATTCTTTGAGCAGGGAAAAGAGATTTTTTTTTCTGAGTGTATTAATTACAAAAATAAAATTTACAATGATTGAATTGAATTGGCTCAGATTCTTTGTTGGACACAGAAATAATAAGATATTTTTTGATTGACAGACGAAACATTCAGATGGAATTTTGAATATAATTTTTTTTAGGAAAAACCACTTCATCGTGGTAATTTAAAATTATTCAATTAGAGTTGTGGAGATTAGTGTTTGTCGCACATTGAAGTAATCAATCAATCATTGTTAGATCACCATTAGAAACCTGGAAGTAATGGACGGCCGTCAAGTTCTGTTATGGGACTCATCAGCAGTGAGCATCCACGACTCTTGAACCTCGCAGGATTTGAACGAACGCGAACGCCCAATCTATGGACTACTTGGCCGACATCCAACAGAGTTAATGTCTAACTCTGATCAATGTAAGGATTTTTTTGCAACCTCAACCAACCATTGTCTTTGGTAGTTACTGCCTACACTCGACAGGGTTGAACTCCAATGGTCACGTCTCCTCTCACTAGAACTGAGAGAATTTCTTCACGAAGCTAGTTACTAGTGAGCATATTTTATGATTTTTCAATTAGAGTTATGGAGATTAGTGTTTGTTGCACATTGAAATCATCAATCAATCATTGTTAGATCACCATTAGAAACCTGGAAGTAATGGACGTCCGTCAAGTCCTGTTATGGGACTCATCAGCAATGCGTATCCACAACTCCTGCACCTCGCAGGATTACGTGTCATCTCTTCGTTTGATTTACAGACTATGGAATTCGATAGGTCAATCGTTTGATCATCATTAATAATTCATTTGAACGACACAATAATCTTAAAATTTTACTGCCGCTATTTACTACTACTACTACTACTAAAAATTAACTAAACATGCGATTGTACAGCTTTTTCGTTGAATTGTCTTTAATTCTCAATTTCCAACTCACTATGCAGATTACAAGATTAAATTTTTCCATGTTACATGTTATTATTATCCAAGCAACCAAAACCCATGAAACAAACATTTAGTTTAGATTTCTTAATAGCACGATAAAATTGTTGTCGAAGAGCAAAAAAATGATCTAACTTCAATACCGAAACGTTTGTAATGAATCACAGACAAGACAGTTATTAAGATATGAGGTAGATAACCACCTGTCACAGTCAGTAGAGAATTTCGAATTAAATTTCCTCTCGACTTGAATCACTTACTCATGTACAAGCTAAATTTGGTCTTGAGTGCTGAATTCCTTATCATCTCTATTTTTCTCTTTCTAAATTTATCTCACTGAATTATAACTTCTCGAATCATATCTTCGAACCCTAATCTTCTCCGTTATTACGCTAATACTTCCACTATCGCTACCACTATTGGATTTGAATTGATAGTTGCATCTCTGTGCTAATGTGCTAATGGAAACCCGGACTGATGTACGTACGTACGTACGAAGTTCTACGTTGTAACTGACTCACTGTACAAACGAAATAATTATATTATGAAATAACTTCGCAGTTCAATAACCAAACTTTACCTGTTGATGAGGTGTCAACCATTCAACTGGTAATGTACGTTCAATGAATGGCAGTTTCGAACCAATTGCAGCCAATCGATTTATCCATTTAGGCAGAGATCGACCACAAAGTAACTAGAAAAAGAAGAAATCAAGGTATTTATTTTCGTACTAATCTAAACAGGTTTAATTATGTAAGATATTATAAAATGATACAAACATCACTTCGCGTATTGTGTAAAGATGATTAATTCTCGTCAAAATTCATATTTTACTACACTTTTATCCGATTTGTACGATTCTTGTGAAATGTTGCTTAAAATCGATAATGTTGACTTTCTTGTGTAAATGCACTTGCTGACCGTCACACATTCAGTGCTGTAAGCCTCTCCGGTTAGCATTAACTCACCAGGTCCCAAACAAACTTGTTTATACGTATTTATAGTTGATAAATCTTTCAATATTCCTCTTCAGCTCACTTCTCTATTTCAATATCAGTATATTTATTTGAACAATGCTGGGGAATAATAATTTTCCCAATACACTAAACTGTCAATTTATCTGGAATCTATCCGAATACGAGAATATTCATTACTTGTGAGTATATATATAGATATATAATGCATATATAAATTCCGTAAATCCTTACAAGTGAATCACGTACAAACTTTATAATATGTTTCTTAATGTAAAGTGGTATCTACTGAACCGAAATACTTCAAAGCAATTATCAGAGTAGAAAAATTCAATAATGTAGAAATCCATTATAATACTTCGTCCTTGTAGCTAACCTATTTCTTGATAAAAATCTAGTTTGTAACAATCTTTGAGAAATTTAATGACAGACTGTTGTAACTTGATTATTCTGACATATGCGCTGGAAATTTCTTCATCTGGTATTATATTAGTAAATAGGATTCTTTAAGTAATCAGCCCTTCTGGAGTTACTGCTGGTCCCAAGCCCGGATAGAGGAGGAGAGTTGAGCATGGAGGTTAGCAACCCCATCCCCGTAGAGAACCAACGCACTAAAGAAGTCAGTCAGTCATTCAGATGCAACGTAGAACTTCGTACGTAAGTACATCAGTTCATGTTGCCGTACCACATCAGCACAGAAATCCAATTGTCAATTCAAATCCAATAGTAGAAGAGGTAGTAAAATTATTAGCAGTAATCGGAGAGATTAGGATTAGAAGATATTATTCAAGAAGTATGATTCAGTAAGAAAAGTTTAGAAAGTCAAAACTAGAGGAGTTGAAGAATCCAGAAGATTAGGATTTGAGAGAACACAAAGAATAAATGCACCGGCGCCATTGCTAACGATTTTGAGCCATGTCATTCAAGGTCTCTAACCATCGATTATTATCATCTAGGGAACCCCAACCAAGTAGTCGGCAACTAACGACATGGCTAAGTCCACTCGTCAATGACTTCATGGATTTCTGCCATGTTTTGGTTTGGCCGCCTCTAGCTTTCTTCCAACCTATTCTTACACTACAAAACAAAGCTCGTCGAGGCAGTCGGTGGTTAGGCATTCGTAACACATGTCCCAACCATCTCAACTGATGAAGCTTCACCACTTCGTCTATTGATCTGCCATTCTTACCTAGTACTCGTTTCCTAGCGACAGCATTGCTTACTCGGTTGTCCCACGATATACGAGCAATGCTTCGAAGACACCTATGATCGAAAACCAATAACCTACGAATATCTTCTACTCTCAGTGGCCATGTTTCACAGCCATAAAGTAAGACGGAGCGGACTACTGCGCAGTAAACTCGTCCTTTAGTCAGCAAACGGACATCTCGCCTACGCCATAAGTGACGCAGGTTGGCAAAAGCCAATCGAGCTTTCTGTATCCTTGCTGAGATTTCGTCAGTTACCAGGCCATCGGCACTGATGAGACTCCCAAGATAAGTGAAGCGGTCGACACGCCCGACTACTTTACTCCCTATCAGTATTTCAGGTGCCGATGCAACCCAATCTTGAAGCAACAATTTGCATTTCGAGGGGGAAAACCGCATTCCAAACATGCTTGCATTGTTGCTTAGGGTAGACAGAAGACTGTACTTTGTCAGCATCTTTTTTTACTCGCTAAAGAAACGTTAACGAAGAAAAATAATTATTCAAGTAATCTCTATCATATTGATTTATTGATAGTGAATTACGCCTATTCCTAAAATGTATACATATAATACTTGACAAAGAGAAACAAGAAGTAGAAATTTTCATAATGAATTAATCAAATCTATAATATCAGAGAAATATACAATGGTACATAAACTAACCTGAATAAATGCATCAGAGAAATGATTGCAATTTTTATGCAATAAATGATATTGATCACCACGATAATCTGTTGTTATATTCTCGAGTAATAAAGCAACATCCGAAGCGGTAAAATCTGTATATCCCATGGACAATGTTACTCTAAAAAAATAATAAAAGAAGTCATATCATAAAAGTTAGTGATTTCATTTAGTTTAAGGATACATTAATCCATGAAGTCAATGATAAGTGGATTGAGTCATGTTGGTAGGTGGTGTAGACTACCACCTGGTTGGAGTCCGCGAGATGATTGTAATCAACAGTTCGAAATCTTGAATGACATGCATCAAGACCATTTGCAATGGCGCAGGTACATCCTTCCAGGCACGTGGATATCCTTGACAGATGTAGAGGACTGTCGAGAGAGACTCTATCTGAAGTTTGTGCTAATGATGTTATTCAGAACAATGAAAACTCTACAACCAAAACATCCAGTTCAGAGAACGAAATTCCATTACAATTATCCACCTGAGCTAGAAATCTTCTCCACCATCTCAAGCACAAACAGTAAGCTGCCAGGTGCTAAATGTTTTAGGGGTAGCAAAATTTTTGCATTAGAATAAACAGTTACAGAGTGCACTACCCATTCATTGTGATAAGGATTCAGCAAGCCATATTACGCGCAGATTTCCTCAGAAAAATATGGGCGGTGATCGGCACAGAGAGCAAGGCGATCACTAAGTACAAACAGTTCATCATACGTCAAAGTAGCGAGATATCGAAGGTAGGAACTGCAACCTCTATTCGAGACGATGTACCAGATTTCAGTGTATTGGTGGAGATATATGGAAGTCTGTCCACTGAAAACAGCGAAGTATATGGACATTTTGATGAAATAACCCATGGAATCCCTACAAAGAGTCACTAGAAGACAACATTTATACGCATCGGATACCAGTTCATCAAAAAGCGGAAATCATCGGGTAGAGATGCTGACGGATTGGATAACTGAAGAGACAGACAGTCTATAAAACTCACCCGTTCTACTAGTGAGGGAGTCTTATGGGGACTATAGACTCTGAGAGGACTTCAGAGAACTGAACAGCATAACTGGACTGAAGTCTACTACGATAGAAACAGTAGTAGAAACCATAGACTGCTTGCAACAAACCAGTGTTCACGATATTAGACCTTCCGTCAGGATATAAGCAACTATCAACAAAAGCAAGCAACAGGTACTAGAGAGTGTTTAGTGCGGGGTAGAGGTAATACCTGCTAAATCAAATTCGATCTGGGCTGGCGGATGCATGTCTTACTTCCAGAAGACTAATGACCTTATGAATTCGGAAGCTGGAAGTATATGGTGATGATCTAGCGGTGTACAGCCAAACAGAACACCTGGAAGCGGTTTTGGAGTGAATTGAGCAATTTGGCTAATGTATTACCATGAACAAATCCTAGATAGCTAAGACTAACATCAGTCTCTTAGGTAGACCATCCGGTCTTAACTTGTCCCTATATATTGCAATAAAACCTAAACAGTGAATTTTATATACCATGATGAGTAAATGTTTTAGTTATCTTGTTATTTTTCATAACTGATCAGTATTTACTGGCATTCGTGCATCATATATGAATCACCTCGATATAGCGATGACGTCAAAAATCTTTTAGAATAGATGGATGGAATTTTGAGTGTTTGAAGCTAGATTCAGTTAAGCTGTATCAAATAACAGAAATGATTCTCGAAACAAATACTCGAGTGTACAAGAAGGACGGATAGTAAGTATAATTATAAAGATTCATATATGAAGTCTTGTCAACATGCAGAATTGGATTGAATTACTCTAACCCCTATACTTTGAACATATGCATCATTGTTGTTTATTATTGAAATTCAAGAGGCGAATTAGGTTTTATCCGACACTTGTCGACTGCATTTACTAGTAATGTAGTGTTGATTTTCATATTGAGACTTGAAACTAGTATCTACCACTTCCATTATAAGTGTTATTCACTGGGATAGTGAGTCAAGATACCAACTAATTTGGCTTAAAGATATGATAATTACTATTAGTTGCATAGCTCTGTACTTTTCTGAACTGGATTTGACTAGTATCTGGTGGTCAGTCGGCTACAACTTGATAAGTAAATACGTAAGTTCAAGTTGTCATACCACATTAGAACAGACAGATCGAATTTTCAATCCCATAGGGGCAGAGGTAGTAACAGTATTAACAGCAATGGAGAAGGTTGGGAGTAGAAGGTATGATTCGAGGAGTATATCCTAGTGAAATAAATTTAAAAAGGGAAAAAGGCCTTTAAGAATTCAGAGGATTAGAAGTCGAGAGAAGACAGAATGGATGCATCTGCGTCATTGTAAATTATTTTGAGCTATGTCATTCAAAGTCTCTAACCATCGGTTACTATAGTCTTGCCGATCCTAACGTGGTAGTCTACACTTACTCAGTCCACTTGTAAGTGACTTCATGAATTTGTGCCGTGTTTCGGTCTGGCTGCCCTTATCTTTCTTCCAGCCTATGCCTACAAAACAAAACCTCTCGTCAAGGTAGTTGGGCACACTTAACACGTCTCAACCACCTTAACTGATGAACATTCACCACTTCATCAATTGATCTGAAATCCTTACCTAGTAACCCTTTCCTAAAAGCTGGTAGATGGATAGGCTGAAACTTTACAACAAATAATTTATATCATACTTGTAAAACAAATCGACAGTTTAGTGGATAATATTACAGATATGCTCGTCGATTGATATGCTTGAAACTATACAGAGTTCACCTTACTCGGTAAACGGAGCGCAGATAAATGATGCAGTGACATGATAGGCTATTCTAATCCGACTTTCCCCGGCCCTGTTAACTAGAGTAAGAAGTTTCGATAAGCAGTAGAGAATGCCTCCTACAAGCACCCAGAAAATACGAGGCTGCTAAGCACACAAATTAAGCTTATTTATACAATGACAGAAACGCCCTTGGGAGAGCCACACAATAGCATCAAGCAATGACAGTCGAGGATTTCCGAGTAGGAAATGTAAGCTTTAGGTCGACTAAAAGTCACTTGGCGCAAAAACATAAAAATTCAAATTTTCAGAATAAAATTACAAAATTAGGACCTTTCCAAATTCGTTCTGGGGATCTAACATCCCCAACAATTACAGTGCGTTTTGAGTGGTGGAAAATCGATTCCGGCCTTAGCAGGAACACTGTTGAGTACGGTCGATTATTCCTCAAACATTTTCAGAAACTTAGGAAAGGTTATATAAGATACAGACACTTTTTGTCCTGATTAATCTATAAATCGTTCTCTGTTTAATCAAGAATCATATAAGCACTGAATAGAATATAATCGTCTGTTTCGAAACTTTTGCAGATCGACATATGTTTGAATGATCATTGTAAAACTGTTATAGAGCATCATTGAATCAATGAAACTCAAAGCAAAACAAACACTATTGTGGTGTGAGCTACTTATAAGTAGTATATGACGTGAGTGTAAACGTAATGTCCGGCAGCATAATATGGGGGAAGATCAAGAAAGGAAGAGTTAGAAAACAATGGAATTTGTATGAAACGCATGAATAGTGACAATGGATTGATGTTTGGCAACAGGAACAGTCCAGTTCGATAGGATGAACTGATCTTTTGCAAATGAACAATTTACGATATGGTTTTCCGATTTTACTGAGTAACTCTGTAATTTTCGTTAAATACAATTCGGTTGCCCCATCTGTGTTCTCGTTCACTACACTAGGACTATATCAATCTAATTTATGACCCGAGTGAATTAGAAAACAACAGTAAATAAAAGAAGTCGATTGTGTTTATTGCTGCATAGATTGTGAAGTTGATAGAGCGACAAAGACACTGTGAATACCAAGAAAATGAAACGCAATTTAATACACTCTATATATGGTAATATGTTGAATAATTAAACAAATATTTTTTAGAAAGAAAAAGAAACACTAACTTGTATGAATAATTTTCACCTAAATAAGCAGAATCTTTAGGTAGCATAGCAAATATTCCAGAGTTGGTTAATGGATGACCTCCATATGAATATTCTATAATGAATGATAACACAACGATAATAATAACAATAATAACTAATAATAATAATAGTAATAATAATAATAATAATACACACTAGTGAGTTAGATACTCTACTGAAATCGGCATAATACAACACAAAAGAATTATCAGTCAATTACAACGTAGAACTACGCACGTAGATCAGTTCAAGTTGCTACACAACGGTAGTACAGAGATGCAATTGTTCATTCAAATCCCATAGTGATAAAGGAAGTAGAAATATGAGCAGTAATTGGGAAGATCGCAGTCCGAAGATATTATTCAAGAAGTATTCAAGAAACCGGCTGATTAAGGTATAAATCTTCATAGACAGAAAGATAGATGGTTAAGACATGTGTTATGTATGCATAACTACTCTCTGTTATGTGAGAATTGCCAGCCTGAAATTCAAGAACTAGGTGTTCTTTCATATAGATTCTACTTTATCATTTTATAAATTTGAAAGGGGTTCGAGTTTAAAACAGTGGAGTAATGTCTCAATAACCAGCCTAATGGAATGCAAGGGAACCTATGACAATGACTAAACAAGATGTGTTGAACAAAACTGAACCCTGGAATAAAAAGAAACCAAGACTTAGTAGGTTCTTTTGTGCCAGATTAGCAACTATGAAATGAATTAACTAAGCATCCGATGCCTTTATTTATCAGTTGTACGACTAAGAAATGTGGTGATTTCAGTTGCTAAGCGTTAAAAAGAATGAACAACAAAACGGTTAACACTTACTTACCAGTTCCATGAACTACAACACCTGTATGATAAACTCCAATACCAAGAGAACTGACATAATCATTGATCCATAACTGTGGATTGAAGAAAAAGAAACATACAGAACATTTATTGAACAATGAATTTGTAGTCATTAGTTAGAAAATTAAATTAAATGACATTTTAATTGATTTTATGTAATCAAAGTACAATAAAACAATCAAATTTAACAAAATGATAATTGATAAGACACAACAAAGAATGATCGAAAGTAAGGAAGGCTTAATATAATTGATATTGATAACCGAAAAAAAATAGAATAGGGTCTAACGATTTCACTTACGCTTAAGCTGTGCAATCGTATTTATGGTTAGTTTAAATTTGCTACAATAGTAGTCTATATGTAAAACAGAATGATTTCATGTCACTCTATATGTATAAACTGATTAGACGCAAAAATTACAGCAATTAAGTTAAATTAAATAAAACAAATTTTCAAGTGAATAGGATGAAATAATCGTTTATTTTATAAAGTTATTTTAATTGTGTTTACTTCATTGCTTCCGATTTAGGGGCTAGACAAAGCATATTATACACACCCTTAATTTATCATGAATTAATAATCGGTTCGATATAAAGTTTTTGGGAGTATTTTTATCATTTAAATGATAATATAGTAAATTCGTTAAAATTGAGAAATACTCAAACAAATGCTTCTTTCAAGTTTAGGACTGTTTAATAATAGTGGAGACCGACAGAAACGAATTTAGGGAATTTCAGTCGGTCAGTCAGGTGCAACGTAGAACTTCGTACGTAAGTACATAAGTTCAGGTTACCATACCACATTAGCACAGAGATGCAACTGTCAGAGTGAGAGTGATAGTATAAGTATTAGCAGTAATAGAGAAGATCAGGGTTCGAAAATACGATTCGAGAAGTATAATTCAGTGAGATAAGGTTAGAAAGACAAAGGTAGAGGTGCTGACGAATCCAGAAGATTAGGATTTGAGAGAACACAAAGAATTAATGCACCGGCGCCATTGCAAACGATTTTGAGCCATGTAGTTCAAGGTCTCTAACCAAAGGTGACTTTCGTCTCGCGGACCCCAACCAGGTAGCCTGCATCTATCAACATGACTCAGTCCACTTGTCAGTGACTTCATGGATTTCTGCCCAGTTTCGGTTTGGCCGCCCCTAGATTTCTTCCAACCTACTCCTACACCACAAAACATTGCTCGACGAAGCAGTCGGTGGTTAGCCATAAGTAACACATGTCCTAACCACCTCAACTGATGAAGTTTTACTACTTCATCTATTGATTTGCCATACCTACCTATAACTCGTTTCCTAACGACAGCACTGCTTATACGGTTGTCCCAGGATACATGAACAATACTTCGGAGACACCGATGATCGAAGACTAGTAGCCTACGAATATCTTCTACTCTTACAGGCCATATTTCGCATCCATATAGGAGAACGGAGCCAACTGCTGCACTGTACACTCGTCCTTTGGTTAGGAAATTTGAGGCAACTAGATTGGTGACTTGAGATTTAATAGTTTATCTTAGATGAGGAATTGTGTTAATCTTACGAATTAACTTCTGTTGAAAAAATAATCTATGATATACCAGGTTCATTGAAATTTGATGGTTCTAAGAAGTGGAATGTGTACTGCAAAAGAGTTCCAAACTAGAATAAAGCACAATCATCCAAGTGATTGGTGCTTAGCTTTTTTTTCTTCAATAACCCTTCTTCAACACTAGTCAAATTCACTAAACACTAGTTAGAATTATCGAGAAAAACACTACTGAACCTAAATTGATTCATTTGAATTCGCTACAACAATCTAAAACAAAGGCATAAACTCTGTCATAATTTTCATATATATATATATATATATATATATACAAGTGATTGCTTTGTTACTTAAATAACAGATGATTCATTTTTTAAGAAAATAAATTCTAAGCTTATATCTATTATAAAAATGAATGACTGAATTAAGAGACATAGAAGAATACAATAAAAAAACAGAAGCATGAAGATGATACAAATATCAGCACAAATTATACACATGTTCCAACAAAATAGTTGTAACATTCTAATTCATTTCAAAAAATGTATTGATATTTTTATTCAAATGATGATTAAAAGTATGACCCTTTTAAATGTAATCATTGAAACAATACAACTTACATGAATATTACTATTAAAATAAATCAATAGTTATCATTGTCTTTATTGCTATTATTATTATTATTACTATTATCGGATAACTAGTGATAGAAGAACTAAACAAAACAAAAAAACATGTGTCACTTAATTTACACAACTAATCTTTTCATAGAATTCAAAGGGTACACAAATACAATAAGCAGTTGCTTTTTGGTTTTAAAAAAAAAATACAAAAATACAAAGTTATAATTCTTGACTTTGTTTCATTCAATTTAACTTGAACAACCGAATAGCAAAAATGAGCTTATAAACAAGGTATAGCGTAAAGCGTTGATACACTAGAAACTGTACTATGTCATTTTAAGTTACATAATAATAAAAAGCTATCAGTCAGTCAGTCAGTTACAATTTAGAACTTCGTACATGAGTGCCAAAGTTCAGGTTGCCAAACCGCATCAGCACAGAGACGCAACTGTCAGTTCAAATCACACAGTGGTACGGATAGTAGAAGTATTAGCAGCTATAAAATTAATGTGAGAGTAGGTGGGTAAGATGAGACAATTCTACGAGTGATGTGATTTTTGAAAAAAATGAAATATTTTAGAAACTTTTGTTAAATAAGAAATTCAGATCATTGGATACAAATAAAAATGTTTCCTCATTGCACTATTCAAGTAATAGCTGAGACAGACATCTAACAAGAAATGATGCATATTTCAGTTGTATATGCGAATCAAATACGATGACTTCTAATTGATAATCTAACTTATTTGTAACCATGAATCGATCAATGTTAGACCACCATTAGAAACCTGGAAGCACTGGACGGCCGTTTCGTCCTGGTATGGGACTCATCAGCAGTGCGCATCCACGACTCCTGCACCCCGCAGGATCCGAACCCAGGACCTTCGGTATTGTGCGCGAACGCCCTAACCGTTAGACCACTGAGCCGGTATCTAACGGTGTTAATGTCTAACTTGATCAAATTCACGGAGTTGCGCAAACTCATACCCTGTATACATCCGAACAGGTTTGAACTTCACTGGTCACGACTTCCCACTAGAACTCGGAGAAGATTCCTCACCAAGCTAGTCACTAGTGGACACATGTAATTGCATTGTGGGGTTGAATATTGTTCAAATACAATTATCACAAACTCTGATGTTGCAATTTGATGCTAAACAACAAGGTATGTAACGATAGTCGTCAACAATAAACAATTACACAGTTAAATTGTTTCGGGCAGCAACATATGTCAAATCAATTAGATTTTCGTATTAAGCTACCTGGTTAAACTAATTGGATATGATTTTTGTGAGAAAGCCATGTAGGCACACGATAAATGTTGCTAAGTAATAGTGGTTGGTATTTTAGTGAACTGAAACGGTCATACTTAAAATGTTCGAACTACTCAACTATCTGATTTTAAATCTTTTCTAGTATGATATTGATGAGACCACACATCTAGTGTACTGAAAATTTTTTACAGCTTCTAATTATTTTTAGCAAGGCTTTACGACATGGCTCAGAATCGTTTGCAATGGCGCAGGTGCATCCACTCTTTGTGTTCTACGAAATTCTAAGCTTCTGCATTCCTCATAATCTCTACCTTTCTCCTTCTAAATTTATCTTACTGAATTATACTTCTCGAATTATATCTTCGCTCCCTAATCTTCTCCATTACTGCTAATACTTCTATTATTGCTATCACTCTTGGATTTGAACTGACAGTTGCGTCTCTGTGCTGATGGGGCATGACAACCTAAACTGATGTACGTAAGTTCGAACGAAGTTCTGCGTTGTATCCGTCCGTCCGTCCGACTTCATGGATTTATGCCAAGTTTCGGTTCGGCCGCCCCTAGATTTCACCCAACTTACTCCTACACCAGAAAACATAGCTCGCCGAGGCAGTCGATGGTTGGGCATTCGTAATACATGTCCTAACCACCTCAACTGATGAAGTTTCAATACTTCATCTGTTGATCTGCTATCTCTACCTAGTACTCATTTTCTAACTATAACATTGCTTACTCGGCTGTCCCAGGATATACGAGCAATGTTTCGAAGACGTTAAGTCCTCTATTAAGTTGATAAACATCTAACTACTAAAGACAATCAGTAATAATTTTTAAATTAGTACTAATAATTTAAACAAATAAACTATAGGAATGAAACCATTTATCAGCCTTTATTGTTACTCCACTATCGAAAGTAACTTTTAAAATAACTTCAAGTGTAATTATGCACTGTTAGGTGTTGTGTAATATAAAATCAAATTGGAACAATCTTCCACAGACGATATTATTATACATTATCTGTAAATATTCAAAAACCTGTACTGAAGTAATTCAATGAATAGAAACATTATGAGAATATATCCATAATGAACAATTACATACACCATGTAAAAACATAGTAGAAGGAATCCTAGTTATCCAAATGATGAACGTTATATTGAGGAAACAATAAAAGCTTCACAATCAAATCACCCGAATATCAAATTAGATTATTCATTGAATTTCAGTCAGTCAGTCAGTCAGTTGCAACGTAGAACTTCGTACGTAAGTACATCGGTTCATGTCGCCATACCACATCAGCACGGAGATGTAATTGTCAATTCAAATCCAATAGTAGAAGAGTTAGTAAGGGTATTAGAAGTAATCGGAGAGGTTAGGATGAGAAGATATTATTCAAGAAGTATGATTCAATGAGAAAAGTTTAGAAAGTCAAAACTAGAGGGGTTGAAGAATCCAGAAGATTAGGATTTGAGAGAACACAAAGAATAAATGCATCGGCGCCATTGCGAACGATTTTGAGCCATGTCATTTAAGGTCTCGAACCATCGATTATTATCATCTCGCGGACCCCAACCAGGTAGTCGACAATTACCGACATGGCTAAGTCCATTTGTCAATGATTTCATGGGTTTGTGATTTTTGAAAAACTAACTCCTTCGACAAGTCTTCTCATTTTCATGTGACCAGTATAAACAGTATTTACGGATGACTTGTCAATGTCTGCTCACGAATCCTAATTTTTGTATGATACATTTTTCGATGTCAAGCTTGTTGTCAATAGATCTAGGCAAGGAGAAATAACTTAGTGCAATATAAGTATTTACAGTTTACAACCACATGAGAATTAAAACCTAGTAAACTTAACTAGAATGAATCAAATCCCTAGTTTATAGGTATTGAATGGAAACACTTTGCATTCTATTAACTGGTTCTATAAGTAGAAGAGGCTAATCAAGACTTAATTTACAGAGGATACTTGTTCGTTTGAAACTAAACAGGTCGTTTTAACCGAGTGAGTTGGCCAAATGTGTTTTATTGTTATGGTCTCCTATTTAAACGAGACAATTAAACCATTTACATTTACGCGACCTTTGAAATTATATAGACTAGAAAATTACAAAGTCACACCCATTTAATTAACCTAATGGAGAGGTGAACTACGGGCGAGTTTGTGAGTATAAAACAAAAAGTCCATATACGAAGTGAAAAATGACCTTTAAAACCTGATTAAAAATGTATACAGAAAGTAGCGAATTCTTAAATGCACTGTTCAAAATGAAAAAAAACACAATAATTCGGATCTAGTAGAAAATTTTAAGTAAATGTAAAAGTCACTGATCTGATCTTAAGAATCTGATTTCAAAAGCACTAAGATACAGATTTGAAATCTGATTGATATTTTGTTATTTAGGCAGTTGATAAGCATTCACAAAAAAGGTTTTCAAAAGCTGAATGTGTAAACCAGCATGTGATCGGTGAGCAATGCTAAACTGAGAAATAATTTGTTGCATTCAGGCCGTTAATTTTTACACCCGTTTTCTTGTTAGCGTTTTCTTTAGCGAGTTAGCTTTTTGCGGGATGTCGTCACCAGCTCCAATCCCGACCCTCCGCTTTTATTCGGGCTTAGGACCGGAAGTAGACCCGAAGAGTCTATTGACCGACGTAAGAATAGGTTGGAAGGAAGCCCGGGGCGACATGGAATAAATCCATAAAGTCATTGACAAGTGGATTGAGTCATATTGGTAGGTGTCGACTACCTGGTTGGGGCCCGCGAGATGATAAAAACCGATGGTTAGAGACCCTGAATGACATGACACAAAACCGTTTGCAATGGTGCCGGTGCATCCATTCTTTGTGTTCTCTCAAACCCTAACCTTCTGACTGCCTCATCACCTTCATCTTTCGCTTTTTCAGTATATTTCACTGGATTCTACTTCTCGAATAATATCGTCCAACCATAATCTCTCTGATTACTGCTAATACTTCTACTACCTCTACTACTATGGGATTTGAAGTGATAATTCCACCTGTGCTAATGTGGTATGGCAACTTGAATTGATGTACATACGCACGAGGTTCTATGTTGTTATTGACCGACTGACGGACCCCGGTTTTCTTCCGAGTAGCCCGTAAATCCCCTAATATTGCTGAAAGTGGGGAGAGTTCACTCTCCCTCTCAAGCTGCTGTTATATGGTCGTGTATGTCGCCACTACCAGGGAAGTCTTAATCACTCTCCTCTGGTGGCACAGGTGTTGTCTGCGAGATTGAAAGTACGAAAAACCAGTGTTTGGTGCTTAAACCAAGTTGGTGGGCACGGATGATCCACCGACACGGAGTGGAAAACCCTGATCTCAAACAAGTGATTCATATGAACTCCAGGATCCTGATGAACCTATTATTGATCACTAGCTACCGTGAGGTCGCATCGCCTGACGTCACTCTAGTGCTTTTTGGATTTGACCTCTGAGTCAAAGGCTCACGGGTGGCCACCTAAGAGAGCCACCCGCTTCGATTCCAGCAACCGGACAGTATCACAGACTACACACAAATTTGTCGATTTATATGACGCATAAATATTTAGGCGCATTTTGTGGTTAGATAAATAATACGCCAGCCGTACCTCATGAAAACAAAGAAACGTATCCTTTGGTTTGAATTAATAGTAAATAATTGTGGCTATGGAAATGGAGCCGTATTCGGAATTATGCTTATGCTTAAGAAGTTGGAATGAAAGCCTTTGTATCTCGAGAGATATTAGGAACATAAACAAAATATACTTTCCGTATAATATTTATACACCCTCGGACACAATCTTATTTATCAACAGAGAAAAATAGACTTGAACAATCAGTAGGGTAAGAGATCGAAGTTAAGTGAAGTTAATGATTTTGAAGACATAACATGATTCGTTTGATAATTTTAGATCTAAATAGCGATAATAATATTAATCTTACGGTAACTCCGACAGATTAATTAGGCTAGGATTTATTTTTAACAGATTATACTGAATGCAAACGACTATAGAAAGAAGTTTAGGACTATGTAGTATAAACAATTAAATAAACTGGAGATTTGAAATGGATTTTTGTTAACACATCAATTTTAGAACTTTTGAAACCTACTGACTATTAATCACCAAAATGAGTATATCTACCTCTTTTGGGTGCGTTTATCTGCTAGTTGTAATATAACCACTACACTACTACTACTACTACTAAAAGATAATAAACATGGTAATTAATCAAGATATTTTTCTTACCATATCATAAACATTCACAGTCACTGGTGTCGAATCGGCATTATTTGTAGAATGAATCTTCGTACCGTTAGGTATAACTGTATTGGTCGCTGTGTCATAATTCACTGATGTCGATGTTTGAGTTGACGGAATACGATATAATTTCGTCCGCAATTTATCCCAGAATCCTACCTGTGGACTCATTGTTTTCATTTATTCATTTTTTTTTAGAAAACTTTCCAAACAGTAAAACCTAAAATCATTTAGCACCGGACAATAAACAAAACCAAAGAAAGTCGTATCTGTAGTAAACTATACACAGTAAAAGAAAGCAAAGTTTGAAAGTTGCCCATTTTATTTTTTAAAGTTTATTAGTCGGAAAATTCCACTAACGCGAAAAAAAAGAAATCTTATTACAATCAAATTTATCACCGATTATAACCACAATCAAATCAGCAAAGATCGGTGACGAAAACCCTGCAACTTAAGTACAAGTCATGTGCATTCACAGAAATATGATAAAGTCATTACATAAAATTCGTAGCATTGTAACCCTTACAAAATGATACTAGCCGGAAAGATCAGTTTATCGAACTTAACGTGAACTATCTAGAACTTAAACATAACGACAGGTCTGGTAAACAGAAGTACTACAAAAAGGGCTGGGTCTACAAGACCCCCAACCCAAATGTGGCTGATTAGCCACATGGAAGGTAGAATTGGGAAAACCATTGAAATCTTTAGTTGGGACACAGTTTTAGTTTCATCCGTCAACCTGTCATACGCATGTGGAAAAGCATTACTTCCAGATCTTTTTGATATTTTTCGATAAGAAAATAATTCTTAAGACTACTAAGACTTAGAAACAATGGATAAGCAGATGTCTGATGCATGGAAAAAGATTTGCATCTCACTCATGACAACGGAAGACAGCAATATTATGTAATATGCAACATTGACGTGTTGTTAGTTCTGGTGGAAATTATACTGCTGAGTTTTAATTCTGGGTACAAAGGATATTTTAGAGAAGGTGCAATGTTAATTTAGAGACGTTTCCTCTCAATAAGGCAATTTGGGGGGAAGCCGCACTATTTGCTCCTGGTCAGGGAAAAACGTAACCATTGGACGTATTGTTTCCTATATTCAAAACGAAATTTGACTGAAGTTTGTGTTCGATTCCCCTCCTTGGTTTGCTCAGGATATATCTGTCTGCGAGTCTCCAGAAGTGTACACCCTTCCTGAAAGTGCTTACACTACATGAGAAATTAGGTTGTGATATCACTTTTGACTATCAGAATTTACGAAATAAAGGATGAGGAGAAAGAAATATTCTCATGGGAAGTGGTGCCCGCTTCACTCTTCGCTAGTTTCAGTTTACTTACAAATTAGTTGGCGGCGTGGATGTAGACGACAAATACTTAATTTACAGAATAGAAGCTGGTGTTATTCCAACGCCATATGACACGTGTTATCAGAGTTTATTAGCAAGTATGGAGATATGAAAATGCAGCAGATAGACGTTAGTCAGGGAATCCACGAAAAAAAGATTATATTGTTTAAAACTGAATTACGCGGTTTCACCACAAAAGGAAAAGTTTATTTACAAAATAGTCTCATGCATCATTCTACAAGTTCAGGTAACGTGGGGCTCGTGCTCCTTCTAGCAAATTTATCCTTAGTCGACCTCCAATAAAAATAGAACAGACTTAATAATAACAAAGTACATACTGGTTGTGACACTGTTACGGCTATTTGAGTTACAATAGCCGCGCAAGGTATAGATTGTTACGGTAACTCTGAATTAGTCAAATAAAAGTGGTTTATGAGAAACGTGTAGTACTTTCATCTTCTTCATCTATTAAATAATTTTGATTAACTTAGTTTAATAATTCCAACGACCATTTCGTTTCCCGTTAACTAATTTTGGATGTAACCAACCATTTAATTGTGATCAGTACCTACTTTCGTGTGATTATAAAACACACTGTGATAAATTAAGATACATTCCTTCGAGGTAATACTCTAAAACCTATTCAAACACGGAAGAAATAGGACCTAATATGTTTAACGATAGAGACTACTTTACCTTCTTTGGGGTGAATTAAATGTTGTAACCATCGAAGTTAATTTCCGTTTCAGTCTAACGTAATAAAACAGTGTAAAACAGTGTGATGAGTTATATCACACCACTCCCACTAATTTTTTTTATTGCCTGATTCTTGACATACCCCAAGTCCAATGTTCAAAATACTTTAAACTTCTTAAGTCACCACCCTAACTAACTAAAGTTGCTAGTAGGTTTGATTTACACTGATAACTTAGCTTGAAGTAAGTCTTTCGAATTACCTACCACATTTTGTGCATTCAGATAGTACACATAATGTAAAGAAATAGGCTTTTATTATTCAGTAGACTCAATCACTGTGAAGTCCTTCTTTACCGTTGGTTAGCTCAGGTGACTATTATGTATTATCTTTTGTCGATAACTACCTCATCGAATTGTACCTGTTCCGTCAACAAATATGACAGATTGAAGTGTTTTCAGAAGGAGGATGGCTAAAATCAGTTAATTTGTCGGCAATTCGTTAGACTTACAGAGTGCCAAATCCTTTACGTTCATACTTCAAGCTTGTAGATATGGAGGGTAATCGTTGTTTGGCAATGACGCCTTTTCAATAGGGGATAACAAACTCAATCAGGCCGGAAGTAATGGGTGATTGAGAGGAAAGGAATATTTGAAAGACAGATGAGATGTTGAGAAGTGCATTATGTGAGCTAACTAGTTGTTGCTCTGGGATGTGTGGCATGGTGTGCTCATATGATACGATGAGTGAGCTTTCAATTGGGGTGTGTTCGGTTAAACGAATGAATTCAACATCATTTTCGAAACCAGCGTTACCATATACTTCTAGAATTATCTATTGTCACGTTGAATTCGCATGCGCTACAAATGGGAAGTACTATATGGACATGGTTTGTATTTGTCATACTTTTGTCTTTCATACAGAAAAGTATCGCTTTTATTTCCAAGATCTTATCCTGACATCACCATCCGGGGGACTGCTTTGATGTTTCAATTTTACTAGAACTAATAGCAATCTGTGATTTTACTGCGATTTACTTTTCGTTTTTCACGGTTATTTTTAGTTGAGTTCAACTCTAGTATGTTCTGAATGGTTATAATGCTTGTTTTTGAACATCCTAAATATTTTTACCATTTTCCCCCTACGTTTATAATACTTTTTTCAATTGTTTAATTGTTGTATTTCACTGTGGTCGCTAGGAGCACATGCAAGGGATTTGGCTAACGTTATTCCGTCACTTAAGGTGTGAAGAGTGCTAAATGAAAAGGATGCTTCCACAAAGCATGCGCAGACTTTATAGCAGCTGTTTACAACAGACTCTATGGGTCAGATCACAGGCGAACGCACAGTGCATACAGAATGAATGCTGAGGACATACAAAGTGACATCGCCAGCCTTCTGACGTTTTTGTCGAAGAAATTGCCAACAACCCTGAAAAACCGCAGTCCATTGATAGGTGTGTGAACAACGACGCGCAGTGACAGAATGACAGGGTCTTGGACTTTCTCATCATCTATGAAACAAGCACCGGATCCAGGGAGGATATTCTGAAACTTAGAACCTTTTCATTATCGACAATGTCAGAGTATATGTGTAGATTTTATTTCGCCAGTGGCTGTCCTAATTGTTTCCAATAGAAACACTCCTGTACGTTCCTCCTAGATCCAGGTCCCAGCCAAATCAAAAGGGCAAAATTCTAGGAGAAAACGTCTCTTTATTATTATAAAATGGAAATACAGAGTCTTACGGTATTTGTGTTTCTTCCAGGACTAAATTACTCCGCAGAGTATCCAATACAATAACTAGTAAGTGACACTAAGTCCAGCAGCCACCGCGTCCATCCAAAAATGTGGCGGTAGCCATATTATATCAGATTTAAACAATATATGTACAGTTCAGAAGCAAACACAAAAACTTCAATATAAGTACAAAATATAGAAAGAACAACAATATACAATGATAGATCTCAAATTGGAATCAAATAAAATACCAAAAATGTCAAGAGAAAAAGTCCATCATGTCATAGCAAAAATATGTAAACATGGAGGGATTTTCCAAAAACACAAAACATTCAAAAAGAATTCTACACCGGCCCGCAAAATCCCTCCATGCAAAAAGAGCAAGCGTTAATGACACTTTATTTAGGGTTCCCATGTTATCCCCTAATCCACACCGGAATAACGTGTAGGACTTACAGCAGTACGCCCACCCGCCATCCAATGTGGATATGACCTGTCTAGTTGGACCCTTCTAGGAGACACACCCTTCGTATGTCTCTTCTCGCTACCCCATTATTAGTACGAACGACTACTGTTCGGACCCTTCCGTCCTTATCTGTCTCGCAATCCTCTACTATCCCTAAGGGCCATTTTCCACGAGTAGTAAGATCCGAGGTGACAATAACTACGTCTCCTTTCTGAAAATTGCGATGCTCCTTTAGCCATTTCTGACGGGTTTGTAAACAAGGCAAATACTCCTTTAACCACCTTTTCCAAAACACGTTGGCTAAGTAATTTACCTGCTTCCAACGTTTGTGGAACTTGTCGCTAATACTTCCTTCCTCCGCTATTCCGTCACACTCTCTCAACAATAGTAGGCTATTGGGTGATAAAGCTAGTCGGTCGTTAGCATCCTGGACCACCGGGGTTAGGGGTCGATCGTTTAGAATTCTCTCGATTTCAATCAGATACGTACCTAAGGTTTCATCTGTTAACACTTGTTCCCTGGTGATCAATAATAGCAGCCTTCGTATAGATCTAATCATTCGTTCCCAAACTCCACCTCTATGGCTAGCTAGTGGAGGGTTGAAATGCCATTGAATTTGTCTTGACGATAATTCCTTACTAATTTTCTGATGATTCCACTGTTGCACGAAGCTCTTTAGTTCTGCAACTGCCCCCACGAAGTTAGATCCGTTGTCACTAAATACATCCGTCGGTCTCCCTCTTCTTCCGATGAAACGTATTAAGGCCATTATAAATGAATCGGTATTCAGACTGTATGCCATCTCAATATGTACTGCTCTTGTCTGCAGGCAGGTAAACATACAACCATACCTTTTTTCTAGTGACCTACCCTTCTTGACCATAAGGGGTCCGAAGTAGTCCACACCTGTCGTCGCGAAACTATACCAACCCTTCTGCACTCTGTAAACTGGGAGTGGCGCCATCTGTTGGTTTCCTGGACATAAGGTGAACCTTCGACAAGTTTCACACCTTCCTATTACTCTTTTAACCGTACTGGTGCCCTTAACTATCCAATAGTACTTGCGGATCGTAGCTAACACGTGCGAGGTTCCCATATGTCCTTCTTCCTTGTGGTAGTGTCTAACTATCAATTCGGTTACCCTATGTCGACCAGGTAAAATTACAGGATGTTTCGACTCGCTCGGGAGTTCGGAGTACATTAAGCGGCCTCCGACGCAGAGTAACCCATCAATCATTATTGGTGCTAAACCTCTCAGACGTTTATTACTCACTTCCTTATGACTAACGTTGGATTCGTTTAGTAATTCTCCGTATGCCTCCCTTTGAACAACCATCAGAATCTTCCGTTTGGCCGACTCGAGCTCCTTGACCTTTAGGTAACCTGTCGCGACGGAACCTTCAATACTCGGCGAATGAAGTATTATCCAGAAGTCTATGAACCTTCTGAGCCACGCTACAGACCTAACCAATTTCATCCATTCCGAGTAATAGGACAAGATAGGTGACGGAGAGTTAGCCGTACTACTCAAATTGACCTTAGCTTTTCTGAACTCTACCTGGTCCATAGTAGGTTCTGGGCAGTAAGTGGTGGTACTCGAGTCATTGTACAGCAGAGTTGGACATTTAAACCAAGTCTCTAGATCATTCATCCTTTGTATACCTCTTGAAGTCCAGTCTGCCGGATTCAGTGATGAGCTTACATAACTCCATTGCTCAATACTAGTATACTGATGAACAACAGCAAGACGGTTAGCTATGTAGCTGGTGTATCGTTTTTCAGCATTTTTAATATAGTATAGCACTATCATAGAATCCGTATGAAAACTCACTCCACAGAAGAAGTTGGGCAGACTTTTCCGTATCACCTCGCTCAGTCTTACACTTAAGACCGCTGCCGCCATTTCTAACCTCGGTATCGTGACTGGTTTAATAGGTGCCACCCTAGACTTGCTGTATAACAGGACACAATAGGGTTGTACCTTCGCATAGCTTACCCGAGCGTAAGCAACCGCCCCATAACCAATCTCTGAAGCATCACTGAACAGGTGCAACTCCACTTTTGCCTCAGCTTCGTCGATTCTATTCTTAATACCTCGGGTAACGGTGACATGACCTAACTGACGCATGAAACTTAACCAATCTAACCATTTGGACACGTACGGTTCGTTGAGAGGTTGATCCCATCCTATTTGGGATTTACATAATCCTTGCAGAAGTAGTTTAGCTGTGAGACACACCGGAGCGATCAGACCCAACGGATCGAACAGGGACGAAACAACAGACAAGATTCCTCTCCTCGTCACTGGTTTATCTGGTGCGTCAAAGCGGAACTTGAATACGTCATGTACTACATCCCATTCTATACCAAGCGTTCGATGAGTGACGATACAATCCGCTGATATTCCAAACAATGATTCCTTGACGCCCTTATCCGGTAACATAGACCTCACTTCTTCGGAGTTGGTAACCCACTTTTT